CAATTGATGCTGGACACTTTCAGCGCGTCATTATACTCATTTATTACGCCCTTAGTCGATTCCGGTTCGTGCATTACTGTACTTGTTCTACGATACCGTAATAACTTCGGCCGTCCGTTAGACATTTTGACAGTTCTACAAATGCTAGAGGTGAATATATCAACTGTCGTTCAATCCAAAACAATCCTTCGTGAAATATCATTAAAACGGAAGAAACCTATGATGAGACATATCTACTGCCTGACTCCGGCTCCTCATCTCTTCGGTTAACAGTCAAGCTCGATATTGCCTGTAGCTTCGTTCACGATGAGAGTATTGGTCTTTCAACAATATATCCGGAAATGACTATATTTCTTTAATTTGTAACATACTTGTTTTTTCCGAGTTATTCAATCTGAATACTACATTGATTTTTAAACTTTTTGGTCGTTAATCCCCGTATCCATAGAATTTGTACACTATAGGACGCATCTAAGGACAAAGTGACACCAAGGGAATTAGCTGCTAGTATCATGAGGTATTCAAAAACTTGTGAATTTTCTTGCTCAGCACACATTAGGCATATCCCACTATTACATAGCACTACGAAGCTTCCTCTTCGTTGCGAACAATCCGACTTGTAATATGATATCGATGTCATGTCTGATAAAAGTTCACATAGTACAAGCTCTCCCCAAGTGTGTTACCCACCATTCTGCATTCCACATGTATGTTTTTTTTCACACAGGCAGTATGACAACTAGATTCTTCCTTCTTCCTTTAAAGCATCCTTCTTGCAGTCGTCTTCGCCCTCGTGATACATACGTTGAAAATGACCACAATATGAATAAAATGAGTGAGTAAAATTATATCAAGTGTTGCTTAAGTGACTGGATTGTTGAAGCAAAGATCCGCCGTAGTGAATCTTTCTCAATCAATGGTAAAACGTGGCAGACAGTGTGCGAGACTGACCGGGAAACTTTCGTTCGCATCGTTTCCTGTCGATATCAGAGCTGACCGCGAATCATGATAAATACACCCCATTGGTATTTACATTAAACTCGTGGCGTCTGTATGACCAAATTATTTTTTGAATATCAGAATCCAGTAAAAAATACACAAACCAGTGGAACAATGGCTCTTCACGCAAACCGGTGAACTGATCCGTTCAAGCGTACTCAGTTTCACTCACACATGAGCAGATACCTTACGGCCGAATGAACCAGTCTCGTCCAAACAGACACCTCATTTAGGAGATAGCAGCAGATAACCGAGCCGAAAAAGGCTTCGAAAAGAACCGAAGTTTGCTGTTAAATCCGGTGATTCATTTTCACATGACCATACTAACTATCCCGGATTCTCTAAGATCGAGAACTCCATGATTAAGTGTATACACCGTACCGCCATTTTTATGTTTGACTTATGAAGCACGAATTTGATAAATTGAAATCAACATCAGCGATAAGAACGGGAGTGGTGACTCCTCGAATTTCTCCTAAAAAGGTTTAACATTGGTAATAATAGTAGATAACGAAAATTTCATTGATTATCAGATGTTCTAGAAATTCGGTTTATCTACAATAGTCGAAACACAAACCATCAATTTAAAATGATAGATAGATAGATAGATAGATAGATAGATAGATAGATAGATAGATAGACAAAGCTGTATGTAGGAGCAGATGGATTCCAACCACAAATTCGCCACTTGAGAATCGTTGACTTGTGTTATTTTACAATCATACCCAATATCAGATTGTTCTAAACTCCACCCAGAATTTCCGTTCCGTTATAATGAGTATTAATATAAGTTCTCTGACTGTGAAAGCTTGGAATTTATCATTTATTTTCCGTTTTTGGTTTCACGTGCATTCATGTGTGATTCGCATACAAGAATCATACCTAACCCCGTATGTTGCGAACAAGCTTGTGTCCTTAGACGGCTCGACGGCTCCAATTAGCAAAATTGCAGGTGCTGTTGCTACCCACATCAACCCTGCTTGTTGTGGCAAGTCTGAAATCATACACTCGTACTCAGGTGAAAGTGTCAGTTCGTTTACTCAGTACCATTCTAACCTCTAAACATAGAAGTACCTATAGAACATATTTTACAGATCTGTGTTCCTCTAAGAACAATTTTTCGGTTTCCTTTAAATCATTCAATTCGTCCTTGTTGCATGGCAAGGGGATAATTTGACGTGGTTGCATTCAGCTGGAACCGTGATTCTACATTACATCTCTATGTTTTTGATCTAACTAATCGACGTGTTACCCCGACCGCAAGTATATCTGTTTCGAACAGAATGATTACAAATACTGAATTCTTTCCCTTCAATCTGCAGGCTTCTAACCCTAACACTGGTCATTTTCTCAGGCCCCAACATACACTCTCGTTCTCTTCCTCACTCTTTCACACGGAATAGCCTAATAAAAAACCCTTATCCATTACACTTCTCATTTTTTAGATTCCTGTCTCATGCAGTCCGTGGCGCTCTCTCGAACGTTGAATGAACAACCATCTAAAATGTTTTGTAGATGCAGTAAAAAAATTATTTTTGTTATGTATTTTGCCTCGAAAACCATCTTTCTCTCCAGCGCCTACACTGCCTTTTTCAAACTACTACTCATTAGGGAAACGCGTGTATAGCACTGCTACAAACGTCGGGGTCATTTCCCCATTGATGAAAAAGGAAATCCAACGAAAGAATCTGTCGGATGTATCAGGAACTGTTAGGCATATATCGGTGCAGACAGTTGTGTGGAAAGAAAACAGGATCTAGTTATTGTGCTGCGAACGTCAAAAGTGTGCACCGCGCATTTAATAATTCGAGCAATAGACCTCCAAAATCATGGAATCAAGACAATACTGCTAAAATAATCTCATTGTCTTGAAACGTTTGTGGACTGCACAAGCAAAAACCGTAGATATCCGTCGTGAGGGTCAAGCATCATCACTTCTGAATCCCTGACGGATGCATTTACTTATTTTCTTGGGACATTCTTGTTCACGTATTTTATCCCTGATTATTGAAAACCCGTCACAAATATTGTCAACCTCGTAAATTCAATATTCCAACCTAAAGTTTTCCTTCCATTACTTTAACATCATGCAGTATTGAACCGGTAGAATGTACCACTGTCGGAAGCCTGACTTTTCTTTCAATAATCCTGAAGACTCCTCCATTTGTACTGAAAATAAAAGGTTTCTTTCAGATTCCGTGGTCTCTCCAGTTCATTACTTAAGATATATAGACAATTCAGTTAAATCTGTAAGATGGGTTTTCCTTACAAAATCAACCCCCTTTGATGCTCTTTCCTACTCCTTCATAAACTGGAAACATTTGGCTGTTCGAACCACCTACTGACATGGTAAGTTAATGAAGTGATGGGCAGAATTGATGCATTCAATTCAGTAAGAAAATACACAAGCCACTCCTGAGTAATTTTGGAGTGTTTTAAAGAGCGCTTCTCTCACCCTCGAGTTGCCAAATTACATCAGTGACCTGTCAACAAGCTTTCCATCCCATTCATTCAACTACGACGACAGTGCAGCAGTTTACCAGGCAATTTATATGTCTGAGGTTAATCGATATTTTTCTTGTAATTTGCCCCATATTTCACATTTTTCTGGTGGATTTGGAATGACTCTCAATTCACCACAGTGTACCTAATAAATACCACCTCCATCCTGGTCCGCCAATCCGAGTATGGCCTCTATTAACTAGAGTAAATTCCCTTCAGCCTTTAGGAGTGAAAGTGGTCACAATGTTCAGGTGGAAATATCATTCATACAAAAATGTAATAAAACTTCTAAGATAACCTTATTCAATAGGAAGACTCAGAAAATCTCATGCTCAAAACGATATAATGATTTTTATACATTTATCCTATTCTCATTCATTATTCTCTTGAAGACCACCCTTGTTAGGAAGGTATTTTAAACTAATCTCTATGTACCGGCGATTACCAGTCATGATTCAACCAAACTGGCTTGAAAAGCACTGTAGAATATTTTGTGAATAATATGTATATATATATATCCGATTGGAAACTTTTGAAGTTTATTCACTTTCAAAGTTACCAGGAATTCCATGGTTAACCGATCAGTCCGTAAAATAATGACCACAACAGTGGGCAAAAATTGATCAACAGACAACCCGGGTCTGATAATAAATATGACAAAAATGGAAGTTGCACGGGATTTAAAGCGGCACCCACAGGAGCCGTGCTTTACCATTTGTTGATTCCCAGGAATTCTTAGAAGAACTTGTCACGGCAAGCAACTTATATACTTCCTGATAAATTTTATGAGCCTCGGTGATTTGGGTGGGTGATCTAAATGTGAAAAGATCAGTGCTATCGGTAAGGCCTTATAGCTCAGTCGATAGGGCGTGCACTGTACAACGTCCATGCATAGGTTTGAGTTTTACTGAGGCTGATAAACGTTTTACTCTTTGACTCTTTAACTTGAAAAATCCTTTTTTTGCATTTTCTGTCCAAATTAGAACAGACTGTATAGTTTCCTTTTAAAATTTATTATGCTGCTTGGTTGCGAGTATTCAGTCGTTCTGACAACACACATTTGTGATACAGTATACAGAAGACGAAATTCGTGGAAAAATAAAGGGTTCTCATAAATTTGTTCCACACTGTATACCTCAGTCGTATTGAACAGAACCCGATTTCCATCGAAAGCAGCTAAACTATTGATACCGAAAGTTCGTGGGACAAAAACAGTAATGAAGTTCTGTTTTCTCTTTCCACCCCACCCCAATCCACATACACACACTTCCTTACGTCTACATCGCCTACCTGGGGAGCCGGTCGCAGAACAAACTCTTCCAGATTTTCCGTGATATCAGGCAATGGGGGCAAGCCGTTACCGGTCGGACTAACCGGTTCTGAGGAGTTGTCCATCTAAATGAGAAAAATAATCCAAATTCAAATAAAGTCTCACGAATCGCGAGGCGAAACATTTCCCTGAACAGTACTGATTAACAAATAACGAAGGGTCATATCTAATTGAACTTGGCAAACACCAACTTGTTCTGGGATACGTACGAGACGAAATTCCCTCATCAATCTGTAAAATCGTCTTGTAGCTGGGTTTAAAATTGTCGGTTTCGAGTGGCTCAGTGTTGCACGATTGGATTCGATTGTTTCGTTCATCCGCAGTACCGTTGATTTGGTGGATTCTGTTGGCGTGGTTAGTCGATCAGCTGGCAGTCTAGGGAGTCGTTGAATAGAGATGGGGGATTGGACAAGAGGTGCAATTTTTCCCTGTCCACTTTCCGTATCACTACGAGCACGGTGTCTACACGCAACTAAGCACACTTTAGATCGCTGAGCTCGTTTAGTAGGGGGCAGTTTCAGTTCGTTTGTTAGTTCCCACATCTCATACAGAGTGTGTTCGTGAGCTCTTTTTAGTCTCGTTGTCTTTTTTGTCACGTGCGGTGAATGCTGAGAGGAGTTTTGAGATTTCGTTCGATCACGTGACCGATTGACGGGTTCTTTCAGGGCTTTAGATGAGGATTTTGTTTGAGGAATTTTCTAGAATAATTCAGAAAGCAATAGTTAAAACAATTCAAATATATTGACAACAGCACACGGTCACAAAGAGCAAAGCATGTACGATCGATTGCCAATGATTATGCATCGTCAACGCAATACCAGCAGGATTAAATTTCATTTAATAAAACATTATAGCAAAGTAAAATAAACAGATTCACTTGAAACTCGCTAACCATTTCGCGTTCAACGAATCATTTCATCTCAGGAAAGTCAAAATACACACGATGATGCAAACTCATATTTCATGTAATTATCATGCATCCTTGGGAAAATTATGCACTGATATAACGGGTCAGGAACGGTAGGTATTCAAAATGTTACACCGTTGAAATCAACCGAAAGATGCTACACCTAATCTCTAGAGTTATATGCAAAGTGCTTTAAATGGAAAACGAAAAGGTAAAATAACGCGCATTAAATGAGTCACAGGTGTTCTGATTAGTCCCCTGTCTTCCACAGTTGTTTACTGGATTAATGATCCTTTTGGCATTTGAGTTCATCAATTGAGTTAGAAATCCAAGCATCGGACTGAATGTGAGCATAATTTCTCCTTTTTTGCGCTCAATACACAGATCATTACCATGTTCATGTCGGGGCTGTCACGGAGTAATCGTATAAAGTCGGCCTTAAAATTGTCCATGATTCGGTAATTTAATCAGGACCAAGAAATGGATTTATCGCCAAAGTTAACAAGTATAGCGTGAAAAATGGCAGTGGAAAAGCGTACACATTTACCGATTTTCAGAACTAATTCTATAAACTCGAATTCCCATTTGGTTTTCTTCAGTTCATTCAAATACTGTTTATTTTAAAACATTCTATAAATGTTTTGTTTGTAATGGTTAGCAGCATTTAATTCATCTAAAGAAAAAAATCAGAGTAATGAATCATAAATGAACAAATTTAGAAGCGCTTGTTTAAAGAAAAAAACAACGCTACAAATTGGATATCAGAGAAGATAATACCTGCCCTGGGTACTAGCATATGGATGACTTGACGCACAATTATCGCATACGCATACCTGACAAGCGCCTAAACTGCGAAACTTGTTGTGTGCTATCAGAGATGTAAATTAGAGTACCTGAAGCTAATCATAATCGGAAGACGAAACGTTTATGATAAACGATAGAGAAATGAAATTTGAAATGGAACACCAGCTAGTGAGATTTTAGTTTGCATGCTTATATGTATACATGCATGATGAAAGATATTAATTTAGTAAGTACATGTATCCCCACACGAACGAGTCGTAGGATGGATGGATAGACAAAATTAGGTATGCTAAACTCTGCGGTTTGGGAAAACAAAAGTTGATGATTTTTATGTGACTGAAATTCTTCAAAATAAGACAACTCAATAAGGGATTATGTAAATGTCCACATACGTACACGAGAAGTTGATTTTTTGGAGCGGGTTTTGTCAGCAGTCCGGGGTCGGGTTTCACATGGAATTTTCGGAGAGCTGTCCGTGAATTTGGATGGAGTTGGGTGCAATTCTTTTGCCAACTTCGGACTTTCTGCATGCTCCATGGGACTGGCGCCGGAATGCGATGCTGGGCCAGCAGTAGCGGATACGTTCAAATTTAAGTTTTTAGGCGCATGCAGTTGAGTGCGCGTTTTCATGGGCGAGGATGAGGATGAGGACTGCACCGGTTCTTTGGAACGCTTGCGTCGGGCAGGTGGTACGGGAGATTCATGTTTCTCGACGGTGACAGTATGGGGAACAGAAATTGCCTAAAAACGTAATTGAACATTACAGATTTTGGTCAGTATAAAATGGAAAGATGGACTAAAATGGATTACTCTCTCTCGGACTTGCATAACGGCTACAGTGAAAAATTACAACCGCTGACTTCTAAACCAGTTCGTGCAGCATATTCCTGCACATTATTCGCATTACCATTAGCATCGTCAAACATAAACAGATTTATCAATCTGAACTCAAGTGATAGCTTACAAATTGCAATCACCCAAACTGAGAAAGTGCAGAACGAACGAACGGGTAAAGAATTCCCCGGGGACAAATGCAGTAGAATAATGAAATCAGAATAGGATGTTCGCAACACATATCACACAATTCTTTAAATAAAAGTGACGTTTACATCAAACTATTCCAGACAATACATTTCAAGAATCAACAAGTAGGAGCATGCCGATGAAGCAGAAACATTTGGAATTGTTTTTGACGGTTCAATAGGATTTGTGGTCGAATAAAACCCATTCCTGAGCAACCCTCATCTCATCCACCTTCCGGTTTGTCGTCGATTTGCTGCACGACACACTGGATACGGAATACCGTCTTTGGTTTTTCTCTGCAAAATACCATTATCTTCAAACAATCAGTTGAGCACAGCTGGGTTTAATACCCCACTTTATGTGCAGCAGTCAATAAACACCCCAGTTGGTATGTTTTTATGTCTGCTACTGGTCATGAATAAACATCAAACGGGTTAAGATGATTTAGTGTGAATGACTGTAAAGTGCCTTGATCGTAAAATCGTAAAATAAATGGTAGCTCGAACATTAAAGAAAAAAAATTAAGGAAAGTAGGACAACGATTCGTGCCACTTTATTCATAACCGTGTAGAACCTTGAATGCCCGCTAACATTTTATCTTTCACTTTGAATAACGTTAGTTATAGTTCATTTGACTTAAGAGACGTTCAGGGACACTCCGGAGTGAACAAACCACGTTTGAGATGTGAACAATTAAATCAAGAACATTGTTGGATAGCCTCTGGTGATTTTTGCATATTTTCTATACAAATTTATCATCCGTTTGTGAGAAATAAGATGATGGCAAACACACGGTGACACGAAAATGCGCGGTCAAAGATTCTGAGAACGAAAATGAAGTTAACACCAGTTCAAGGGTAAAACACGGCCCTTCAATTTAACGGACAACAGACTGAAATGATTTCACATTAAGATAGTGTGTTGCTTGATTTTTGGCGGTAGTTGAACTATCGTTATGTGGGGATGACAATTGTACGACAGCAAAAAGTGCATAAACATTTGTCTGCGATTCCAATACTGCACTATCTTCTTGTCTGAACTTTGGTCTCCTCCCCCTCCAAGTATTGCCTGACTGGTTGCAATTCATTACTTGTGAATGGCCTGTACATTCAGAAGTAGTCAGTCAAAGGATAACCAAAACATAAGTAATATTATGATCAAGAGGATAGGGTAAACCGCTGGTATTCATAGCTCACTCTGATTGAACTATAGTAACAGGCAACTCCCACACTCTAGTTACTTATTGTCTGCAGTGCGAAATTTCGCGTCCCCAGCTGTACTGAAATCGCAAACCCATGGGGTTGGGGAGTCTCACTTCTTACTCCTGGGTTAAATCTTCAACGTTTAATTTATTGAGCAAACTGCCGCGTTAAAAATATGATGTATGGATTAGCCCATTCTACTCATCACAGGCACCAGACACTGATGATGATATTGTGACAGTTTTACTTCTTGCGGTATCGGTGAATCCCCATCAGTTAAATACATTTACGTGCGACAGAAATCAAGGCATTAACCGTCGATTGTGCCGCACAGAGGTGAGAGTTCCCCAGCCCAGCCCACAGATTCACGATTTTAATCCCAACCGGGACGTCCCGTGAGGAACGAGACAGTTTTCCAGTGCTCTTTGTTTGACATCACAGAGATTTCTGCTGCATATAATTGATAGAAATTTATCTATATCTAAAGGATTAAAACCCTCACACAATACCATCACCAGTGGCTGATGCCTGTAATCAATCGAATGGGTTAATGTGAATAAAATACTATCACGTGTACCTGTACTCAGTAAATACATAATTTATGATAAATTTGTTTGTTTGATTGACCTCTGTATTGAATAGCATCATGATGATGAATATTGCGCTTTGTATACTTCCTCTCGGATGTAAAGGGACGGATGGAGGAATGTGACTTACGGCTGTTTTGTCTATGTCACATATATGTAATCCTTCATCAGCTGTGAGCAACTGATACTAAAACTCAATGATAAAACTGCTGTAATCAACCAGCCATTATTGTATTCATTTGTTGCTCAGCCTTCAGAGTATTTTATGTGTAAATGGGATGAAAAATTAGTTTGTCCGTCTCAATTACTAGCTTCGGTTTCATATTAAATTCCAACATGGGATATCGTTTTGCGTCTTCATAGGCACATCGTCCCTACCTATAGTATTAAGCAAAATAACATATATTACCTAGAAAAGAAATAACACAGAGCCTATATAAAAATGGGGCATTAGATACCTCAAAAGTCTTTTTTGGCCGTACCCCAGTATGTGCAAAAATCACTCGAGAAATATGATCTATATTGCAACATGGTGGTCAAAACTAATCTAACATTTTGCGTACCATAAATTGATAAACGAGTGTGATAAACGAGTGGTTTGTGGGTCACAGAGAGGAAATATGACTGACGTAGTTGATACTTAAATAATCGACTCGTTGTCCTTGCCAAGGGTCAAGCAACCAACCGTGAATTATTACGTACAGTGGCTTGAATTATTTACAACAAAAATGTATGCTGTTTTAGTACCCGATCAAACGGATAACAATAATGAGCTCTAAAAGTAAATAGCTTAATTAATTTCAAGACGGATTAAGTAGGTAAATAACAGGTGATTCTCTGGAAGAATCGGATAAGATTGGGGATTAGCGCCGAATTTCGTCAATTCTGTCACGTGATCGAACAGAAAGTGTGGCAGAACAGAGAGTGGTTACTAATTTATACCACTGAGAGAAATACCGAAGATTCTATATCAATGTGCCTTTTGAAACTATCCTGATCCTCGTTCGTCTATGACTGTGACTTCATATTTGAAAATTTATCGCTATGTAATTCAAATAAAATGACTATAAACATCAAGCAAACGTCATCCAACGAGGAAGTTTAAGGTGACACCACAAACTTCAGNAAACTTCAGTAGTCGTTTAGGCTGTTAATCATTCAATGAGTAATAAATAATCTCATTACTTCGCTTTATTCAAAATACAAATGTCCAAATAGCTTTCGGGAATGGGGTGGGCTGTAGCCATCTAGTCGCTGCCTGGAAGCACTCACATAAGAGTACAACCCGAAAATTTGAGATGATAAAATTAACCTCCACCAGAATATTCCAGAAATCGAATGTTCCCCTTTTCACTATGTTCTGTATCCCAATCCACCTATCCTGGTTTATTGTTATTGTTATTATTGTTGTTGCGCTGGCACCATGCTTGTCTTCAAGCCGGTGGTAAACATATATACATATAAATATATATATTTGGGTCTCTATCATTCATTGTTATCAGTCTCGTATTAGTTATTAACTTACATTTTGAAAAATTCTGTGCGGCCGATTGATTTTTCGAAGGCTATTCATCAGTGTAGTGCTACTATTAGTCAAATTTCAATAATTTCATTTTTCTCAATTCTATTTCACGCCTCAGTGGGTGGTGAATAACCTAATCACATCTAGTTTATCTGCTTAGTTCATCTTTATCATAGTAACGCTTTCAATTTTTGAAATCTTTTAGTTATTCCCTCCCTTCATTACTGGACCAAGTGGGTGGGTAAAACCAAATTGACGCACCAAAGTGTGACTGTAATAGGTGGGTAAACTGGATGGGCGATTCATATAGAAAAAGAACGATTATCTTTTTTAGAAGGGAACAATGGATGACCGAATTCGATTTTATGATGAACATAGTAGTATACAGAACGAAGGAAACTTCAACGGTGCTTCCGAGCTTCTCGGTCGACAGTTGTTGATTCTCACATTGATCTGTTCATGGCGCTGATATACAGTTCGTGTGTTGATATCGTGCTTGTGCTAGAACAGCAAGCGAGTACTACGTTACTGCTTTGACACATCATGTTAACACAGTTTGACTTCCACGTTATTATGACCCGTGAAATAAAATTACGCGTGGAAAATGGAAAACACGTGACAAGTGGACATTCAACAAAAGTGAAATTGCAAAAAGGTAATGTCAAAATCGATCCAGTAAACTAACAAACTGTACTGATTAACATAAAAGACAAGCAAAAATACAGCAAGACGTTCGGAGCTATTGTTCTTTGGCAAGGACGAAACATCGCTCATCGATCGACCCGTTGACCTTAAATCAAGGTCGTTTTTCGAGCATCGTGATCGAATGTCATTAAATGTAACTGAATTGGGCATTCACGGGATTTGGAACCAGTATAAAAGCCAGTTCATGGTTGTTTCGCATTGTTCAACCGGCCAATTATGATTAATGATGAAGAGTTCTTCCCTCCAGAAATGTGTTGAAATCTCCAGGCAGAATCAAAAGAAGTTGCTTCACGGAAGAATCCGAAAGTTACCGTGAACAGTATTGAAAAAGCCATTGCCAGATTTGACTAAAATTAGTGATTCATTAGTAATTCATTTACGGATGGTAAAAAGGCGCTTCGTCTTCAACCCTGGGGGTAGTCAGATGAAATGAGAACCAGTGAGCACAAATGTTGTTTTGCTTCGTGTAAGACAGCATTTCGAATCAAGAGAAATAAGAAATGATATTACTCAATGAACTAGCATGAGGATTGCGTACTGATTTGTGAGTGGCAATCATTGAGAAACAGAATCATGAAATGCTGCAAAAAGCCAGATGAATTCACTCGAACCGATATCACGAAAAGGTCAAGAAAAAATCCTTTATGTTTCTAGCATACCCCAGGGCATTCAAAGACAAGAGAATTAATTGTAGGAAAGGAAATACCAAAAGGCAAAGAATTTATAAATGAATTATTCCAAATAAACAATATTCATCCACAAAACAGGTCGAGGAACGTAGTGAAGCTCAGAGCCTCTGTACCTCATCATCTCCTACGTGAGGACAGTGTCTCAGGACTTGAAAATTACTCCAAAATCATCGATTTGTGTGGTTCAGATGATATAAG